TTTCCATGGTGATGAAAGATGAGATGAGTGCCTCTCCAAAGAGTAAGAAGGTGTGCATGGATACACAGTGAAAGGAAAACCTCAGATTTCTGAACCTTGATGCATAGAAACCCTTCAACATTAACTATACATGAGTTTGCTTTGCTGCTTACTTTTGGACATACTAAAAATCCTATCAGTGCTGATTCCTTTGATGATATGGATTCTTGTCAGAAAGGTAAGGGATACATTAACTACAAACAAAAAACACAAACTGTGTTTTGCTTTTGCATTAAATGAAGCTTCTTCTACATTTAGAGATGAGGGATGAGTTTGCTTTACTGCTCACTTCTGTGCATACCAAATTGGACCTGTCTGAGAGATGATGAAGCCCCATCCAAACAATAAGAGATAAATCCATATGCAATGAAAGGAACAACTCATAACCCAGCATAGCTGGAAACAAGAAACACAATATCTGTGGATATATTGCATTAAATGGAACTGCTTCCACATGAGAGAAAAGCTGCAACCTGCCATGCAAAATACTTGTGGTATTCATGTGATCCACATTTCATCATTGGCCAACATGATACTATGACATTCCTATTAAGTTTCGGGGTGAGGGTTGATTGCGCTTTCTCATGTTGAACATTGAAAACCAAATGAAAAGGGCACTCGAGTTTATTGGCTTACATGAGCTTCATCTATACATTTGAGACATGCATTATATGAAGCGTTGAATGTAAATGATCGAAGAGCCATTGGTGTGAAATGTTTCAAATGTCTTCAATGGGGGCAATCCTTTAATTCAGAACATAGAACACTAAATGAATAAAGAGTGCATTAGAAATTAGGGATTCTATAATTGTCAATCTTATTGAAGATGATACATGGAAAAAAATAACAATTATAATCTTTCTTGGTAGATTGGTTTCCATATTAAACTCTCAGTATCAACATAATACATACATTAAATGATTCTCGAATTCATTTTAATAAGATTTTTTTGTTATATCTCGAGGCTTTAGTATTGATATGGGGAACTAATACTTACATGGGCTATCGATACCTCAATAATATTTGATTACACCTCGATGACTTATGTCTTAATATCGTATTAAGACATTTGAATCGATAGAGAAACCATTATGATTCTAACATGTTTGAATTTGATACACAATTAAACATACAGTAATGATCTAATCATATCCATTTCGATTCGATATTTTACTATATCCTTCAAACCCTATTATTGGCTCGTAAGTGTTAGAGGAATCTTTTCGAGTACACTTCTAACGCAATATCATTCTTAATTAGTTAGAATAGGTAACGATCGAATCCGATCATCTTCTGGACAATCAAATGAATTCAGACATGGAATCTATTCACATTTACTTGATGGATTAAGATACTCATTAATGGATTTGTAGTGAATATAATAAATATAAAAAATAAATACTTGAGTCAAAATTGAAATATATTTGAAAATAAATAGAACGAAATTCATATAAAGGTAATTTTCTTTTTAAAAAAATCTTTCTTTTTTGAGTTTTATTTTCAAAATGTATTTCTGTTTTTATTTTTTTAAATGGTGTCACTTATTTTTATTTTTTTCATAAATTCACCTCGCAAGCATTCATAGCATTATCGCCTTCGCCCCATCATGAGGCCCCACCCCAAGGCCCCACCATCCTCTGCCACGTCGACCGCCAAACCCTCCCCCACCCCTCCCTTCTTGCTCATGTGCCTACCGTCCAATCCCTTACCTAAGCGAGCAACACCTTTGAGTTCACCACCTGAGCCAACAACATCGTCCAATTCCTCGTGCTCTTCTATTTCGATCATCGATCTCAATAGAGGAAAAGGAGGCAGCCACGGTGGAGCTTCCCTTCCCTTCCCTCCTCCCCTAGATGGCCCATCGTCTAGTCCCTCGCCCGAGCGGATGGCATCGTCGAGTTCCTTCGTACAAAATAGTAGATCTCGACCTACTTAAGTCTGATTAAAATATTAATTAGTGTTTAAATCACGCTTGAAATGAGCTTCCAAAAATGAGTACAACAACGTGTATCGATACCCTAACCATTGTCATTCCGGATCGAAGCCTATAAATTGATCGATCCCACCGATACAACTTGTGCATGCCTTACTTGATCTATATCTATCTATCTGCAATCGTCGCTTCTTCTTCCCACGTCGCACCGCTTCCGCTCGTCGTCTCTTCCCAAGAAGCGCCGCGGAGTTGCACCCCCTTGGAACCCTACAAATTGTCACCTCCTCCCAATCCATGACCAACCCCTCTCCTTCTTCGGCAACCAATGGCTGTTCTCTCCGTCCGAGACGTTCTCGCCTTCCACAAGCTGGACCGCGGGATGTACGACAAGCTCGTCGCCCTCGGCACCACCCCTGAAGTCTCCCGCAACGTCGTCGCCCTCTTCATGTGGCTGGAGCTCATCGGCGTCGACGTCATCGACTACATCCGCAGCAACCCCGACCACTACATCCTCCTCCGCCTGGCCGCCGAGGCGGAGTCCATCCTCGACTGCGTCCGCCGTGACACCCCGCCCAGCGACGGCGCCGACTCCAGCTTGGCCATCCCCCTCACCGCCTCCCTTGTCAACGAGCCCCTCAACCTGCGCTTCTTCAACTGCCACCGCGACGTGGCGGTGCGCGGGATCACCCAGATCCTCGACGGCGTCGGCACGCTCATCTTTGACGACTACTTGCACGCCCTGCTCGCCGAGTACGAGGCCGAAGCGCAGGCGGCGGAGGCCGATGCCCGAGGCCGCGCCAAGGCCGTGCTCCCAATGCTGCCACGGGAGCTGGCCCGGCCGCACCTCCCCCGCGTTTCGCCGACCCCGGAGGACAGCCGCTCCATGTTCATCACGTTCTCCAAGGGCTTCCCTCTGAAGCGGGAAGACATAGTCGAATACTTCACGGAGTACTCCCCCATCCTTCTCCTCACCCTGCATAGCACGTTCTGATCTGCTTCTCTTGGGCGTGCAGGAAATGGGGGGACTGTGTCGAAAAGGTGATGATGGAGAAGACGACGACGTCAGCGGCGATGCCCACGTACGGGAGGATCGTGTTCACCAGCGAGTCGTTCATCGGTCTGGTGCTCAACGGGAAGCAGCTGGTTAAGTTCACGATCAAGGGAAGGCAGCTGTGGGCTCGCAAGTACGAGCAAAGAAAGAACCCAATATAAGGTTACCATCTACGTAGTGTATCGCATGTAATGGATTACTACTGTAATTAAAAGACGTTGTCTTTGTCATGCTTTTACGTGGACTTGTTCTGATGTTGTGGTTCATAGTGTCATAAATTACTCCTTTAATATATTTATTTTAATCGTATAATCTATATATTATAATGTATTTATTATCATACATTATCTCATTATAGATTAAATTCGGCAAATAAGATCTCAATCACTATCATCAGAAGGTGAGAGTCGGACGAATCGCAAATCGAAAGTCGAGTCCAAATCCCAAAAGGGGAAGACGTTCGGTTCTGCTGCATCTCCGGTTCGGTTTGTTTTTAGAAGCGGCGGGTTGAATTGGTCGTATTCCTGAAATTTTGGAAGCCAAACTCTTTTCGGGTTCAATTTCGGTTCGTTGAACCAGGAGATCGAACCGAACCAATTGCATGGTTGGATTGGTTTAGCCAATTCGGATAAACCCCGACATTTCAAAAGCCATAACACATGACTCTCCGCATGGTTGATCCATCGTCATAGTCATGTCGTTGATAAATCGAACCGAACCGATAAGTGGACCGAACCGAACACTCCCCACCGTCCTTTCCTCGGTATCCAGCGTCCCTGGAAGCCAACCCTCTCTGAATAACGACCCCGAGAGAGAGAGAGAGAGAGAGAGAGAGAGAGCAATGGCGGATGGGGGAGGAGAGGTAAGGGTGCAGAACGTGTGGGTGATGCGGCACGGGGACCGGATCGACGACCAGGAGCCGCTGTGGGTGGCACACGCCAAGCGGCCATGGGACCCACCGCTCGCCGAGGGGGGCCTGATCCGGGCGTGGACCGCCGGGAAGCGGCTGCGCGGCGCCGGCGTCCCCATCCACCGCGTCGTCGTGTCTCCCTTCCTCCGGTGCCTGCAGACCGCCGCCGAGGTCATCCGCGCCCTCTGTTGCGTCGTCGACGACGATAGTCGCCTCCTCGCCATGGAGACCAGCCAGGACGCCATCCTCGATCCCGCTCGTGTTAAGGTTTCCCACCACATCATTCTGTTTCTTTTCTTGGGTTGTTTGTAATTGTATCGTTGAAATGAGGAAAGCATTAGAAAAATGGAAGGCTGATTGAAAAACGTACTTTTGTGACAAAGCATCATTTTCTTCTCGGAGGTGAAAGATATAATTCAAACATGCACTCATAAATTGAACAAAGAATGTAATCCATTCCGGCCATGTAAGATTCTTAAGATTTTGTTTGCAGACCAAGATGCAGATTTAGTATTGAAAATATTCTAATGATAGAGTAGTGGTTTTGCGTCACCCCATTTTTTTATCATTTGAATTAATATGTGAGCCAGTTTAGAATATTTGGCATTGGATTTTGAAGCTTTTTGTTAGGAATAAAATGTAACACTGCATATCTAAATTAATTTTGTTAGAACTAAACACATGTTAATGTCTTGTATAAATAGTATAGAAACAGCTTGTCACCAAGAAAGGTGTACTGCAGTAGTTAATCTATGGGTGTCATTGTAACTTGCATATCCACTTATTTTATGGTTAACGTGTGATGCAGGATGATTAGAGATGTTTTTTCTTTTTTTCCAACTTGAATAGTTAGGGTCTTTTAGATTCATAAATAGCCTAGAATCATTGCCAAACAGCTGGAATTTAGATTCATAAATTATTTTTTTCCATATTGTGAAGTGTCCTTGGGCCATTCAAAGGCCATCTTTCCCATATCCGTGGTCTTAGTCATCTTAAGAGTGATGCTTAGCTTATTTGGCCTACTATTACCCATATTGGTAGTCTTAGGTCAACTTTAGCTTATTTGAGTCTTAGAAAATGATAATTCTACAGAAAAAGTTGCTTTTGCGCTTCAATCCTTTTAAATTCCAGCCAGATTAGATTGACGTTGTCAGAAGATGCTTGCAATCTTGAGCTACTTCACAATTGAACTCATAAGCAAATTGCTTTCTCATATTGGATGGCCTAAATTTCTTCATAAACGCAATCGAGATTGCATACACTGTAAATATTAATTTTTTAAAAAAAGTCTACCTAAAACCTTGTTTAACGTTTCATCATTATGATATCTGTTAGAAACTGGTTCAATATATTTGGATTTTCATCTTATCTTCTCATGAAGATTAGGAAATGCAAGCGAAGTTTTTAAAAGTTATTTCCTTTTCTGGTGTGCTTTTCCTAGTAGTTGATGAAATTATGGTTTTCTATCATATCATACTAGAAATGGAAAAAAAACTGAATTTCCTTTTTTACTATATTGCAAGTATTAGATTTTTATTTTATTTTGAGAAAAAATTTCTCCTTCAGAGTTTTGTCTTAGTATGTTGGTTTCCCTTTTACTTTTCCTTTTATAACTTTTGCAACATTCTTGAATCATGTCCTTGCTGCAGTCTTTACTCTCACCAAGACATCTATGATGATAACATTGCAAATTCAACCTATGTGAAAATTAAAAAAGAATTAGTTTTATTTTTTATTTTTTTTGCAACTGGTAAGTGGTGAAGATGAGATTCAAACCCAATCAAAATCTTTATTCGTTGATCTTTCTATAATGTAGCAAACCAACAACGAAGCGACTAAGATTTATTATTATGTTATATGTTAATCTATAATCAAGAATTTCTTCTAGTCACTTAACCTATGCTGTTCTATCACTTCTTATGAGCAATATCATCCAACCAGGTCTTTTGAGAATTGATGAAAAATTTGGAATTGATCTGAAGCAAATTTGTAGGTTCATCTATCATCTGTAGCATGCTTTAATGCCTACAGCAACAACAAGAAGCTGTAACTTTTTGATTTTTTTCCACCATTGAGTTCTTTGTAATGCAATATTTCTACTTCACTTAAGAGCATTCAAATATTCTTTTATTTTTTTCTGCATGTTTTAACGCCTTTATTACATAATTCAAATGTAGTTACAAGGATAGGCATTTCACATCATCAAGTTATTGTCGACAGCTTTGACAAAGAAGGGCAATATTCACAAAAAATGTTCTAGTTGGTACTATTAGAACATAGGCTATCTAAACTTCAGAGTCAAAGAAATCAAATCTGATCTGTTACCAACTTTTGTGATCTAATTTCATCTTTACTCACAAAAGAAGCCAAGTAATGGTACAAAAAATATTACAAAAAAGATTGTATGAAAAAAGAAGCCATTTTCTCTCTTCCCCTCTTTATCAGTTAATTCCCCTCTCGATGTTTCTATACATTTATCTCATTCTTCTTTCTTTCTGTAATACTTTTTCGTACCATTACTTGGTTTCTTTTGAGAGCATAACATATTTCTTTCCACATGCGATTGTATGTGAAGTTGTAAAAAAATTAGCCTTCTGTATTTGTTTTGTATTGTTCCTCATCTGAGAGCTTGTTTTAACTTGAACTGTGTTTGTCCATTCCGCAGGTCTCGATTGAGTACGGATTATCTGAGATGCTAAACTCAGAAGCAATAGGTAGTACAGTGGCTCCAAAAGATAAAAACTGGTTTCCTCATATCTCTGATCTTGGAGCTTTGTTGCCATCTGGAACGTTGGATCAGTTTGCAGAGAGTGTTTATAAAGAGGTTTATCTTTATACATTTTTTAATTGCTTGTTCAGAATGTTCTGTTCCTGCATATACCTATTAGATTTTGGGATACTTGCAGCTGTAAGATTTTGCTTTTCTCTCTCTCATAAAATGAATTAATTATTTTTGTATTTTCTGAAGTTGCCTCATTGGGAGGAATCTGCGCTTGAAGCAAGAAAAAGATATGTGAGTGTTATTGGTGCTCTTGCTGAAAAATATCCCAATGAAAACTTGCTGCTAGTCTCACATGGTTAGTGCATGTTTCCAAACATATATTATATATTCATCCATTATCACTTAAATATAAACTCATCGTTATTTCTCTTATATAATCTGTAAATATGTAGTGATGTGAAATTGCTGGATATTGTTCAGCCTACAAGTAAAAATTTACTCCTGAAATTAAATTTCGTTGTCATGGATAAATTCAATTTGTTATATGGTTTTCTCATTGTTATATGTTTGTGGCAGCATGTGAAAAAAATGGAAGTTTGGTTTCATCTTTCTGCATCACTTAGGGTTTGACAATGCCATTGTCATTGTCTTGTTGCCCTTGATTCATCTTAGTCTTTGTACATGAGGAGAAAATTAGTTTTTGTTTGCTTTTCAGTTTTTTTTCTCCATAGGGTATGTTTTTTAGATGTCTGGCGCCACATCCAAAAATCATGCCCATACGATCAGATCCGGTTGTTGACCAATTATACTGCTTTTTTCTTGTGTGCAGGTGAGGCTATTGGTGTTTCTATCACTTCAGCTCTGGAGGATTCTATGGTTTTTGATGTAGAATACTGTGCAAGCTGTCACTTGCAAAGAAAAATATTATCAAACCCTTCACAGTCCTTCAATTCTGAAGATTTTAAGGTCATCACAGAGAGTGGCCAAACAGGTATAGCTTATGGTCGTACCTCCTGATTTTTCGTGATATGAAACTGAAGCATATGACAAGCTTCTATCAGGTTTTGATCTCATTTCAAATAGTTCTGGTTTTCTGAAGACCTTTTTAGCACCAAAACATATTTGTTATTGTTGCTGCTGTTAAACACATGAAACGCTTTATTTTTGTGTCGTTGATTCTTTTGCCATGGTTGCAGTTTTATCTATGCTGAACCTTTTTATGGATATAAAATATATAATGATGGATCTAGAAAAGTCTCTATATCCTGTTAGCTGGAGTTCACTAGTCATTCATACTGGTAAAGCATAAAATCAAAAGAAATGCCTGCACAAAGATCTTGTGCCTTTTGGTCACATGTAAATCATTGGCAGAGTGATTGTTGTGTTGTTGCCATAAATCATTATTACTGTGTATGCCAGATTAAAACTTATCTTCCTACTTTGGTTTCTCTTACTATGTTTTCTCTGTTTATCGATTATCATTAATCTACATGAGAATTTGTAGTTTTAACTATGAAGTCACCTCTTCCTCTTTATAAGTCTAACATGTTATTTTAATTATGAGAATTTGTCATTTTTACTGTTTTGTGGATTATGAATCGCAATCATAGTGACAGAGGTTGAGAAAAAATGTGTGGAGATATTTGAGGGGTGGGCTCTAATTTGTTTGTTCCCATTGCTTTGGGGGCATAATCTGGTCTTACAGTAATAATTAGCGATTTAAGCCTTCTGCACATGATAAACTTCCTCTTTTGTAAGATGTCACATCAGTAAGAGGTTTGGGCATTAAAAAAGGGATCATCATGGAGTCTGCAAGTTTGGAACAATGATATTCATGTTTACATGTCTTGTACATCCAATGAAAATAGAGTTTCCCGTAGCTATGTGATAAGTTTTGTTGATTAGCATAAATTGAATCAGTCATATGATAGTGGATAAGCAGGAATGGGAGGTAGAAATAAATAGCTTGTATTTCCTCTAGTTCTATATTTCTTTAATTCTCATAACATGGACTATTGTAGCGGTGTAACTTCACAATTTGAGCTTGCCTACATGTACTCAATTAATAATGCTTTCACATGATCTTTTGATGGGTATCTGCATCCTTCTTACTACTCATATTGGTGTCAGTTTTATTTTGTTTACATAATTGGACAAACTTTAATAGATAGTTTATCTGATTTTGTGAGCTAAATTCCAAGTGCTTGGTTTTGAGATTTCATTCTCTTCAACCAGACTTTACTAAAGTTGAGTCCATGAATCTAATTCTTGTGCAAAGGTTATTGGTCCGGTGCATGGACTGGGGGATAAGTAAATTTGTATCTATCTATATTGAGCTTTAAACATGCTAGCTGGTACCAGTACTGGATAATCTTTTAAAAAATTCTGATAACTGTTCTTTTTTTGGGTCTTTTTTCTTCTTTCTCTCTTTCTATCAACTCTCTCTGCCCAGTCATCGTCTTTTCTCTCTCTCCTTTTTTCCTTCTTCTCTTTTTAGCTTTCTATCAGTGCACTCTCTCTCTCTCTTCTCTCTCTTCCCCTCCACCTCCTCCTCTATGGCACTGCTGCTGCTTCTCTAAGGCTATATTCAGAATTCCTAATAGTATGCACTATTCATGGATTTAGAGTATTTAGAGTGTGGTTATTCTCCATAACTATCCCAAAGATTTGTGCCCTTAATTTTGAGCTTCAGTTTATTCTTCCTGCTTATTAATACAATTTCACTTCAATTTGAAATAATTTTTAGTACCTCGACTGTATCACTAAACACATCATATGGCCTATAAATTAGAAGAAAAATAAATCTCTATACTCCCCTTAAAAAATATGTCAAATGAA